TTTGGAATGAAACAGACTGGACTGAGTGTACACAGACAAGCAGCACAATTAAAGTCTTGAGTATAAACACAAGTTTCTGTAGTAAAAGGGTAAAGACTGCCCCCTAGTGCCCACACAGCACATTACCTTGCATTTGGAGTTGTAGTTTACCGTCCTCCTGGCCCATATTCTGAGTTTCTATCTGAATTTGCAGAATTTTTATCAGATTCAGTCCTGAGCAGTGATAGAATAATTGTTGTTGGTGACTTCAATATCCATGTGGATGTTGATAATGATAGCCTGAGCACAGCTTTCATGTCACTATTAGACTCTATTGGTTTCACCCAGGGTGTAAACAAACCTACTCATCGTTTTAACCACACCCTGGATCTTGTTTGAAATCCATAACCTTACAGTTTCCCTAGAAAATCCTCTGCTATCAGACCATTTTTTTTTTTTATTACATTCGACTTTGTCCTACCAGAATTACCTCTGCCTGGAAGAGGTGTGCTCTCTAGAAGTTTGTCGGATAGTGCTGTTGCTAGATTTAAGGAAGCCATTTCAGCTGTTTTTGATTCAGTACCGTGTTTCAACCCAGTTGGAAACTCTTATGATAGCTTTAGTCCCTCTCAGCTAGATCAGTTTGTTGATAGTGCAGTGGATTCGCTGAGAGTTACTCTGGATTCGATTGCTCCCCTGAAACAGAAGGTTGTCAAGCGGCGGAGAGTGGCTCCATGGTTCAACTCAGAAACCCGGACTCTAAAACAATCGTTGCGGAATTTTGAAAGAATATGGCGCTCAACCAAAACGATAGAATCTCGTTTTTTTCTGGCAGGATAGTCATAGAAGATATATGAAGGCTCTACGTCACGCCCGAGCTGCCTACTACTCCTCTCTAATCGAGGAAAACAAAGGCAATCCTAGATACCTCTGCACCCCTTCCGTCATCTCCTCCTCCTCTTTCTCCTGGCTTGGCAAACTTTAAATCTAATTTCCCTTTCAGGCAAAATAAAGTCTGAACTGAAAAAGAAAACCATGTTATGTGTTTTTACCCCTTTGTTTTGAATCACTTCTTTGTTGATTCGATAACTGACTTGAAGCATGCCCTCTTAAAAAAGTCAGGGGTCAAAGTCAGCTATTATTGAGATAGCTATAATAAGCAATGTTAATCTTTTAATACCCAGCAGTCATTAAGTGTCAGAAAAACTGGAGAAAATTTATTTACGGCTCTAAATCAAATCATGTGAAGCCTCATTTCATTTTAGGATCCAGCTTGCCTAGATATTATAAAACAATATGGTGAACCAGAGTAACTCTTGGCATGATGGTCACATCTAATTTTCTCTTATTTTATAAAGCCAACATTTATATTTGTTCCGTGTCTTGCAGCAGCCAGCCCTGAACTCTCCTGTTTGTTTTCCTCCTCTTCTCCATCCTCAGACTCTGCAGTACTGGTGCTCCTCGGGGTTGTGTCAGCTCACCTGTTCTCTTAACTCTGTACACCAATGAATGCACCAGACTCTATGCAGAGAGCTACATCATTAAATTCTTGGATGATACAGCTATCCTGAGCGTAATGCACAGAGACAGCAGTCCTTCTTTTTATCACTCTGAGGTAGAACATTTTGTGCTCTGGTGTGATACAAACTACATTGTTTTAAATGTTAAAAAGGCCGAGGAGATGGTGTTTGATCCCAGGGGAGTGGGTGATCATCATCCTGTGGTCATCCACAAGGAAAGTGTAAATGTTTGTACATACATGTGAACATTAATCCCATAATCTTTTTCTTCATTCCCCCCCGAAAAAAAGGTATTGGCTGCCTGTGGATAATGAGGTCAGAAGCTCAGTCTGTAGGACTTGGGTTGGGAACCAGAGGGTCGCCGGTTCAAGTCCCTGTGCGGACCAAGTATGGAAGTTGTCTGGTAGCTGGAGAGGTGCCAGATCACCTCCTGAGCACTGCTGAGGTGCCCTTGAGCAAGGCACCACACCCCCTCCCCACCACCAGCTCAGGAGCGCCCATTGTGGGCTGCTCTGTCACTCTGACATCTCTCCATTAGTGTATGTCCAGAGGATCCTGTTTGTGTGCATGTGTGTATATACTTCAGCCTATGTGTGTGTTGCATGACTACAGAGTGTAAAAACTGAAACTGAAAATCAATGAAAGTACATCTTAAATCTTTAGTGCTGGTGTTATTCATGTCACTTGGGGCGAGGCTTTCTGAGGAAGTGGTCTGAAAGAAAACTGCGGCGAGGTTGTCAGAAAGAGGAACACACTTCTCTCACTGGTCCGATCAACAACAATCTACTTTGCTCTCTGTTCACCATGAAGCTGTATGGAGCTTTGATCCTGTTTGTGACTCTATCTACAGGTAAGAACAGCTTTAGAGTTAGCTATTAGTGCACTGAGCACACACATAGTAACTGAAATAAAAGAAATGGGTTTGATTTTTATGTGATGTCAGAAAGTTGAAGAAAAAGTTCCCTCCTTGCAAAAAATGTGCCTATCGTTATAGTCTTTAAACTTTGGTTTAACAGGGTTAATCTGTGAACTGTTGTTCTGGCCATGTGCCTTCTGACTTTAGAACAGTGTACATTAGTTTGAGTAGGTCAACAAATGACTCTCTTTCTGAAGAAACCTTTGTAAAATGTAAATTACCATCGTCCTTCTCTCATTTCCCAGACAAACAACTAGGCACAAGCTTTGGAATGAAACAGACTGGACTGAGTGTACACAGACAAGCAGCACAATTAAAGTCTTGAGTATAAACACAAGTTTCTGTAGTAAAAGGGTAAAGACTGCCCCCTAGTGCCCACACAGCACATTACCTTGCATTTGGAGTTGTAGTTTACCGTCCTCCTGGCCCATATTCTGAGTTTCTATCTGAATTTGCAGAATTTTTATCAGATTCAGTCCTGAGCAGTGATAGAATAATTGTTGTTGGTGACTTCAATATCCATGTGGATGTTGATAATGATAGCCTGAGCACAGCTTTCATGTCACTATTAGACTCTATTGGTTTCACCCAGGGTGTAAACAAACCTACTCATCGTTTTAACCACACCCTGGATCTTGTTTGAAATCCATAACCTTACAGTTTCCCCTAGAAAATCCTCTGCTATCAGACCATTTTTTTTTTATTACATTCGACTTTGTCCTACCAGAATTACCTCTGCCTGGAAGAGGTGTGCTCTCTAGAAGTTTGTCTGATAGTGCTGTGGCTAGATTTAAGGAAGCCATTTCAGCTGTTTTTGATTCAGTACTGTGTTTCAACCCAGTTGGAAACTCTTATGATAGCTTTAGTCCCTCTCAGCTAGATCAGTTTGTTGATAGTGCAGTGGATTCGCTGAGAGTTACTCTGGATTCGATTGCTCCCCTGAAACAGAAGGTTGTCAAGCGGCGGAGAGTGGCTCCATGGTTCAACTCAGAAACCCGTACTCTAAAACAATCGTCGCGGAATTTTGAAAGAATATGGCGCTCGACCAAAACGGTAGAATCTCGTTTTTTCATAGAAGATATATTTGTATATAGAAGATATATGAAGGCTCTATGTCACGCCCAAGCTGCCTACTACTCCTCTCTAATCGAGGAAAACAAAGGCAATCCTAGATACCTCTGCACCCCTTCCGTCATCTCCTCCTCCTCTTTCTCCTGGCTTGGCAAACTTTAAATCTAATTTCCCTTTCAGGCAAAATAAAGGTCTGAACTGAAAAAGAAAACCATGTTATGTGTTTTTACCCCTTTGTTTTGAATCACTTCTTTGTTGATTCGATAACTGACTTTAAGCATGCCCTCTTAAAAAAGTCAGGGGTCAAAGTCAGCTATTATTGAGATAGCTATAATAAGCAATGTAAATCTTTTAATACCCAGCAGTCATTAAGTGTCAGAAAAACTGGAGAAAATTTATTTACGGCTCTAAATCAAATCATGTGAAGCCTCATTTCATTTTAGGATCCAGCTTGCCTAGACATTATAAAACAATATGGTGAACCAGAGTAACTCTAGAGAACTCTAATTTTGTCTTATTTTATAAAGTTTTTTTTTAATAGTCTTGGGTTATTGCCTATAGTTGAAGTCCAAGCAGTATGAATTATTTCAGGTCTAAGAAATATATTTTCATTGTGCCCATGTTGTTTCTTTTAACTTGTGAAAACAGTGAAGAACTTGGGACCAGGGACCTGCTTAGGATGTAGGGTTTGAGCTGCATCCTAAGGATGAATATGTTACATTCTTTGGTCACAGATGGATTGATGTAATGGAGCCAACATTTATATTTGTTCCGTGTCTTGCAGCAGCCAGCCCTGAACTCTCCTGTTTGTTTTCCTCCTCTTCTCCATCCTCAGACTCTGCAGTACTGGTGCTCCTCGGGGTTGTGTCAGCTCACCTGTTCTCTTAACTCTGTACACCAATGAATGCACCAGACTCTATGCAGAGAGCTACATCATTAAATTCTTGGATGATACAGCTATCCTGAGCGTAATGCACAGAGACAGCAGTCCTTCTTTTTATCACTCTGAGGTAGAACATTTTGTGCTCTGGTGTGATACAAACTACATTGTTTTAAGTGTTAAAAAGGCCGAGGAGATGGTGTTTGATCCCAGGGGAGTGGGTGATCATCATCCTGTGGTCATCCACAAGGAAAGTGTAAATGTTTGTACATACATGTGAACATTAATCCCATAATCTTTTTCTTCATTCCCCCCCGAAAAAAAGGTATTGGCTGCCTGTGGGATAATGAGGTCAGAAGCTCAGTCTGTAGGGACTTGGGTTGGGAACCGGAGGGTCGCCGGTTCAAGTCCCTGTGCGGACCAAGTATGGAAGTTGGTCTGGTAGCTGGAGAGGTGCCAGATCACCTCCTGAGCACCGCTGAGGTGCCCTTGAGCAAGGCACCACACCCCCTCCCCACCACCAGCTCAGGAGCGCCCATTGTGGGCTGCTCTGTCACTCTGACATCTCTCCATTAGTGTATGTCCAGAGGATCCTGTTTGTGTGCATGTGTGTATATACTTCAGCCTATGTGTGTGTTGCATGACTACAGAGTGTAAAAACTGAAACTGAAAATCAATGAAAGTACATCATAAATCTTTAGTGCTGGTGTTATTCATGTCACGTGGGGCGAGGCTTTCTGAGGAAATGGTCTGAAAGAAAACTGCGGCGAGGTTGTCAGGAAGAGGAACACATCCTCTCTCACTGGTCCGATCAACAACAATCTACTTTGCTCTCTGTTCACCATGAAGCTGTATGGAGCTTTGATCCTGTTTGTGACTCTATCTACAGGTAAGAACAGCTTTAGAGTTAGCTATTAGTGCACTGAGCACACACATAGTAACTGAAATAAAAGAAATGGGTTTGATTTTTATGTGATGTCAGAAAGTTGAAGAAAAAGAGCACAAAAAAATGTGCCTATCGTTATAATCTTCAAACTTTGGTTTAACAGGGTTAATCTGTGAACTGTTGTTCTGGCCATGTGCCTTCTGACTTTAGAACAGTGTACATTAGTTTGAGTAGGTCAACAAATTACTCTCTTTCTGAAGAAACCTTTGTAAAATGTAAATTACCATCGTCCTTCTCTCATTTTGTCAATTCTCTACTTGGCTCTTCCATTGAGGCAAACATGCCCCAAAAAATAAACCAGTGGGTCAAAATCAAACACAAAACTACGACGGAGGATTAGGGCCACGTTAAAAAAAATTAATTACATTTACGAGCTTAATCTCGTAAATTAACGAGTTCCAGACCAGCCTGTGCAAAAATGATGAAAGTAGAACTCTCAAAGTCTTTAAAGAATAAAGTCGTTATTTTAGTCCGTATCAGAAGAGCAGCAGCATCCTGTTCTCAAATGACAAACATGGAGCATCTTGTCCTAAAGGTTTCACTAATAAGGCAATAGGCTACTTCCTTGTGTTGTCGATAAAAACAGTTCAAGAGAAGTTTTCACTTCAATTTGCAAGAGCTTGTTTATCTGTAAAATGATGTATGAACAGGACACAAACTGGCTCTGCACATGAGACACTTTAACAAAGCAGACCGATAACAGACACAAATAGTTGTGTTGGGGTTTTACTTATGCAGATATGAAACTATGATGCTTTTGGCACATCATCATCTTCACATTGTCATAAAATATCAGCACCCTGAAAAGATACTGCAAGAAACTGTGGCTTTTCCGAAGAAAGAAGCACACTGACTTGGAGGAAGATGTCTGCAGAGGAAGATACTTTAAGAGTTCTACTTTCATCATTTTGCGCAGGCTGGTCTGGAACTCATTAACTCGTTTATTCTCATAAATTCTTGTACTTTGTACATTTTGTACTTTGTACTTTTAATCTCGTAAATTTACGACTTTATTGTCGTAACTTTATTGTCGACTTCATTGACGTAAATTTACGAGTTTATTTACGAGTTTAATCTTATTAATCTCTTAATAAAACAAAGTTTTACCATGGCCCTAATCCTCCGTCGGACAAAACACAACATGATAAAGCTATAGGATAAAATACATGGTTAAAGAAATTTGGCAAAATATAAAAGTATGTCCAAGCCCCTTCTCTAAACTTCAATTTCATTTGACTTTCTCAGGGCCTCTTAAATAGTTTTTAGTCATGACTGAAGTTTTGTTTTTGTTTTCTCTTTTCTGTCAAACTCTCTTATCGGAAACCTTTCTGTAGGTGTTAATTTCTGCTAACACGCAGATCATGCAAAACAAAAACAACATAATGTGAACTCTTTGTGAACTGGTCAAATGCACGTCACACCTACCCATTCACATCCATTCATACACTGATGGCAGTGGTTGCTATGTAGGGAGACAATCAGAAGTAACTAATCCCATTCATAAGCATTCATACACCGCCGACGAAGCAGCGGGAGCATTTCAGGGTTAAATGTCTTGCCCAGGGACACATCGGACATGTTGCTGCAGGAGCTGGGAATCGAACCTTCAACCTTCCAGTTGAGAGACGACGACACAGAACCGCAGCCCAATAATGAAGGCTGTTAACGTTGTGTACCTGCGTGCTTGTGCTCATGCATCAACTGTACCGTGTGGAAGCACACCTCTCCGAAGTGATCCAGGGCCAAGGAAGTGTACAGTGCTCGAGCAAGGACACGGTACGGATTGCGTAGTGTGAGTTAGCGTTGAAAGCCGGCACTAGCTATCGCTGGCATCGCTGGCTGATTTCTGTAAAGCTGCTTCCATAGTGTTGTTTGATTAATCTGCCTTCCGATATTAAACTGCAGCTTGTGCTATGGTTGTTTTTTGCTAGCAGCTGAATCTTTGAGTAAACCAACAGAGGCTTGCTGTGGTGGCTATTATTTTTATTTTGAGAGTTTGTGCTAGTTATTTTGTTTTTGTATGCATTTGCTGTTTTGTTTAGTTTTTAAGATATCTTTCTATCTCAAAAGCACCGTGTGGTATATTGCGTGACTTAACTGATGTGTTTTGTGTCTCTGTTTAGCATGTGGATTGAGATGCTACACATGCATTACCGCAGACCCAAGATCATGCACAGACACCAGATCTTGTGAACCTGGGCTTGATCGATGTTTCTCTCTCAAATTCAATGGTAAGTTCTTTCATTTTCCATACTGAAATGAATCAGACAGCCGATACAATTTTTTGCTGTATTAAATTCTTGGTGGCTGATTGGTTTCTGTGTTTTGAAGGCGTGACCACCAAGGGCTGCATAAACAGTCTGAGCTGTGCTGTAGGTGTCATGTCATGCTGTGAAGGAGACCTGTGTAACAGTGCAGTTCCAACTGGTTCCAGTGTCCTCCTGCTGCTGGTATCTTCAGCCCTCATCACTCTCTTTCTCTAAGGCTCTGGGATCCTCTTATTTTAATGCTGCACTTCTTGTGTCTGAACCAATTTGTATCACTGCAGATGAATAAAAACAATTAAGTTTCACTGGAAACTATATCTCAAAGTCAATTACATAATCTTATGCACATGTTAATCCTTTGCTTTCACTCATGGATTGAATAAAAAGAGCTGGCTATACAATGAAAATCAAGCACGTGTCACTTGCCCATTGGCGGTTCTAGGGAGGGGCCTATGTAAATAAAGTTTATTTACACACTTTATTTAATTTGGGGTTATGCATTTATCATGTAAGTTAGTTAACTAAGTTAGTTATTGCTATTACACATACCCTTACATAAAGAGTAACTATTCCTTATTGAAAAGTGTGCAAAAAGAACTTAATCAGATGCTGAGGCTCTATGACTTCTTTCTCAGGTTTGAAACACAGGACATTTCCTTGGAATGCAATAAATTGCTACAGCCTATCTCAATTACTGAACCTTGCCCCAGTCTGGTCGTCGACCCTCCCAAAATTCAGTCCCTTTTTAGTCAGATAGGCAGGAGGAAATCCACAGGCCCAGGTGACATCCCTGCTCATCTCTTAAAGATCTGTGCAGATGAGCTCACTCCAGCTTGTTGTCCTGTATTAAAGCAGTCTGTGGATTCACACACAGTTCCTATTCAAAATCCACCATCATTCCTATTCCAAAAAAGTCTTGTCCAACTGAATATAACGACTACAGACCTGTGGCGTTAACTTCTGTGGTTATGAAATGAAAAATATGTGGTGTCTATAAAGTCGCTTAATAATATTCAACACAGCAAGTATGGTTTTAAGGTTCTTTAGTTAGATTTCTGGTAGATTAGTTAGATTTCTCATAGCCTCATAGTTCTCATAGAAACACATATTTCAGACATGAACCAAGCGGGCCCCCTTGTGGGCCAAACAGAACACTACCAAATTATTACATCACATGCGTAAAACATAAACATTACAGTATAGTGTATACTGAAAGCAGAATTTTAGCTCTGAGTTAGATCCACTCCAGTTGGCCTACAAGCGGGTGCAGGGTACAGACGATGCAATTAACAGCGTCAGTCATCTGACTTTAAAACACCTTCAAGACCCTAAGGCCATATGCACGTTTGTTGTTTATTGATTTTAGTTCTGCCTTTAATACATTTCAGCCTCATCTGCTGACAAGGAAGCTAACCCAGATGACTGTTAATCCTCTAAACCTCTGGTTATTATTTTAACATAGAACACAGAATGTCAGGGTCAATAACACACTTTCACATTCAAAATCAATCAGCAAAAACTCTTTCATTCCCACATCGATAAAAATTCTTAATATTGTTTCTTAGGGCTGCGGGTTGTGCATTAGTGTCATGGTGTCCCTGTATACTTTTTATATTTTCTTAACTTTGTTATTTTATCTCTCATGCTGTGTTTTTGCAGATCTTGTGCAAAATGATAGCAATGTATGTTGTGTTGTTCTGTATTGCTATGTGGTTTTTTTATTGTTTTTATTTATTGATTGAGTGGAAGCAGCTAAATGTTTGGCAGAAATATGAGTCCAAGACAAATTTCCCCAAGGAGGAGTTCATTTATTAACTACTATTTTGAAGCCTTGAGTCTTCTTTCATGGTCACTTCTTTTTAAAAGCCAGAAGTGACCATGTTTAGAGAAGAGGTTGATTGAGGTTGATTACTAATTGTTATTTGTCCATTCTGGTTTGCAGGTTGCCAAGGCTGCAACTTGCACATCAAATGAAGCAGACACAGTTACAGCATCAATGTAACTCTTAATGGGAACACTTTTTACTAAATGTTCTCAATGCTTCATTGAAGATGGGTTGAAACCAGAAGAGGTCTACTGAGGTAATATATCAAGTGAGAAGTAGTCATATTCTTAACAGGTTCCAAACCATTTGATCCCCTTTGTAACTAAATGAGTTACTAATGGCCATTGGACAAACAGCAGGTTAAAGGTACTTAAAGCTTTTGAAACAGAAATACTTCAACTACTTCTTATGTTGCCTACAAAAAATATATTCTAGTCTAATTCCAGTCTAGTCTTTCAACTTGCATGATGGTATATTCTCAACATTTTCATTATAAAAAATATCTGCCCTGAGACTCACCGCTTTTGAATCAATTCCTTTTTCTTTTGTATTGATACCAAATATAATGTAGTTTTAAAAAACTTGACACCTCCTTGAGTTCAAAACAAACCTTCAAAATCAGAATGTTTGTATCCTTAAACTTCTTCTCTGATGACACTAATATAAGAAACCACATGTGTCAGACACAGAAAATAAGGCAATGTGATAAAAGGACACTTGAGTGGGCTAATTGCAACTGCTAAAGACTCACTATATATATTGTTTTATTTTTTTATATTTATATTATTCTGCTATTTGAGTGGACTGCAGCAAAACTCAACAACAATGATCGAGGTGGGAATCTCAGAGTAACTCAAGATACTATAGAATACACAACATGTGGTTCACCTTAATGTTATCAAGACACGTCCATTCTGCAATAACTGATGTATGCAAGATAATCCCAAATAACTGAAGGCTATGCAAGGCTTCTTAAAAAGGTCAAGTGTGATGTATTTATTCATTGCAATATGGTGTCAGTTAAACCTCTTATCATGCTTCTTCCTTTAACTTCTTTTCACTGTTGTATGACAATATCCTGCTCTTCTTCTTTTTCTTCTTCTGTCTGTCAACTTCTTCTTGAGTCAGTTAACCTCTGTTTAAGTTACTCTCATACATGCCATGAGCGAAAGCTGGAGGAGTCATGAAGTAGTCATGCGATTAGTCCAACTGGCAGGGAAATCTTTTAAGAGCGTTTTATTTCTTCTGTTAAATTGTTCATATCTTGCACTAGTGATTCAATAACTGCATCTCAGAAGTCAAGAAGACGATATATTGCTGTGTCAATTTTTTGTTTCATCCCTCCTGACAGTAAATGAAAATGTTTTATTTAATTAATCCATCCATGAATCCCTCTCCGCTAGAATCATCTTCCAACAAACATAACCCTTATGAATTGGCACTATAAAGATTGTTTGATTGATTGATTGATTGATTGATTGATTGATTGATTGATTGATTGATTGATTGATTGATTGATTGATTGATTGATTGATTGATTGATTGATTGATTGATTGGTTGATTGATTGGTTGGTTGATTGATCTGTAATGTGCCCTGTTAGACCCAGGTTTGACTCTGTTTAGCCCTGCAGAGGAAGCCAGAGTGCTGCTGAGGGCTTTAGTCAAAACACCTCAGTGAACCACATTGATTTCCTCATTCAGACAGAACCCAGAGAGCTCCAGACAAACAACTAGGCACAAGCTTTGGAATGAAACAGACTGGACTGAGTGTACACAGACAAGCAGCACAATTAAAGTCTTGAGTATAAACACAAGTTTCTGTAGTAAAAGGGTAAAGACTGCCCCCTAGTGCCCACACAGCACATTACCTTGCATTTGGAGTTGTAGTTTACCGTCCTCCTGGCCCATATTCTGAGTTTCTATCTGAATTTGCAGAATTTTTATCAGATTCAGTCCTGAGCAGTGATAGAATAATTGTTGTTGGTGACTTCAATATCCATGTGGATGTTGATAATGATAGCCTGAGCACAGCTTTCATGTCACTATTAGACTCTATTGGTTTCACCCAGGGTGTAAACGAACCTACTCATCGTTTTAACCACACCCTGGATCTTGTTTTAGCTCATGGAATTGAAATCCATAACCTTACAGTTTCCCTAGAAAATCCTCTGCTATCAGACTATTTTTTTTTTTTATTACATTCGATTTTGTCCTACCAGAATTACCTCTGCCTGGAAGAGGTGTGCTCTCTAGAAGTTTGTCGGATAATGCTGTTGCTAGATTTAAGGAAGCCATTTCAGCTGTTTTTGATTCAGTACCGTGTTTCAACCCAGTTGGAAACTCTTATGATAGCTTTAGTCCCTCTCAGCTAGATCAGTTTGTTGATAGTGCAGTGGATTCGCTGAGAGTTACTCTGGATTCGATTGCTCCCCTGAAACAGAAGGTTGTCAAGCGGCGGAGAGTGGCTGCATGGTTCAACTCAGAAACCCGTACTCTAAAACAATCGTCGCGGAATTTTGAAAGAATATGGCGCTCGACCAAAACGGTAGAATCTCGTTTTTTCATAGAAGATATATTTGTATATAGAAGATATATGAAGGCTCTACGTCACGCCCGAGCTGCCTACTACTCCTCTCTAATCGAGGAAAACAAAGGCAATCCTAGATACCTCTGCACCCCTTCCGTCATCTCCTCCTCCTCTTTCTCCTGGCTTGGCAAACTTTAAATCTAATTTCCCTTTCAGGCAAAATAAAGGTCTGAACTGAAAAAGAAAACCATGTTATGTGTTTTTATCCCTTTGTTTTGAATCACTTCTTTTTTGATTCGATAACTGACTTTAAGCATGCCCTCTTAAAAAAGTCAGGGGTCAAAGTCAGCTATTATTGAGATAGCTATAATAAGCAATGTTAATCTTTTAATACCCAGCAGTCATTAAGTGTCAGAAAAACTGGAGAAAATTTATTTACGGCTCTAAATCAAATCATGTGAAGCCTCATTTCATTTTAGGATCCAGCTTGCCTAGACATTATAAAACAATATGGTGAACCAGAGTAACTCTTGGCATGATGGTCACATCTAATTTTGTCTCATTTTATAAAGCCAACATTTATATTTGTTCCGTGTCTTGCAGCAGCCAGCCCTGAACTCTCCTGTTTGTTTTCCTCCTCTTCTCCATCCTCAGACTCTGCAGTACTGGTGCTCCTCAGGGTTGTGTCAGCTCACCTGTTCTCTTAACTCTGTACACCAATGAATGCACCAGACTCTATGCAGAGAGCTACATCATTAAATTCTTGGATGATACAGCTATCCTGAGCGTAATGCACAGAGACAGCAGTCCTTCTTTTTATCACTCTGAAGTAGAACATTTTGTGCTCTGGTGTGATACAAACTACATTGTTTTAAATGTTAAAAAGGCCGAGGAGATGGTGTTTGATCCCAGGGGAGTGGGTGATCATCATCCTGTGGTCATCCACAAGGAAAGTGTAAATGTTTGTACATACATGTGAACATTAATCCCATAATCTTTTTCTTCATTCCCCCGAAAAAAGGTATTGGCTGCCTGTTGGATAATGAGGTCACTTTAGT